TGCGCGTAAAACAGCAAGTCATAACAAGTTATTAATAGCGTGACGAGGAATCACGAAACATTTATCTTTTATGTAATGATTGTGCATGATATAGATAGTGTCAATACCGTGTCTCATTGAGATAAATTCTGATAAATCTTATAATGTGTGATCATCGCGAACACAAGTATTTGTGAAATATATACGCGAATTGCAATGTATTGCACAATTATACGTAAAAATGTTGTTACTGATGTATTAATATATGTATAATCATTTTATTATCAGTTGCATATTTCCTGAATATATGTTTTAGAAAATTTATTTATTTAAAAAGCGTATCAATATATAATATACAATTATTATAGTATTTATTATAATTATAATCGATCTCAACTTCTGTTAACTTTAAATCTGTAATATCTTCCCAATCAGTAGACAATGTTTTTAAAACGTTTTTAAAATATTTATTTAATGTAAAAATATTTAAGAAATATTTTTAAAATATTGTGTGCTGATTGGGTTATTGGATAGTCTGAATATTTCTTACTGAGATGTTTCTGGAATTGCATTAAAAAATTTAACAGATATAAGATGTCTTTAAAATAAAATATGCGGTGGGGAGTAAATTATTAAAGTTCTAACGAAACGCTCACTGTCAGTTGTTCTCGGTTTGCGAGTAGTTCTGCATCGATTGCTAGAGTCTTGATTTTACGAGAGATTGGATTACAGACTGCAAGGTAGTGAGGAAATTATATCTTTTCTATTTCATAATTTTTAGAACAAATATAATATACATATATGTAAGCGAATATTATTAATACTATTATTAAATACTTAAAATTAGGCGAGTTTGATTTTACCTGTGGAGTTAAAACATAAGACTATTAACATAAAAAATTCAATATAGGTAAGATTTCAGAAATTATGAAGTTTTGATAAGCGCTGCTCAGACTTATCTTATCAGTACTTTATTTTTTCCGAAATCTTATTTACTTGAACTACATTGAATTTTGTTCGTCGATGATCTTGTGTTTTGATTCTGCAGTATTGGACACGCTTGATTGAAATTAATACTTTTGAAAATTATTTTGAAGTAAATGTAAAATATAGTTGTCATAAGGATATTATGAATTTGAATTATGTAATTAAATACCAAAGACTTAATTTTGATCATAGAAGAAATTTTGATTATATTTCTAATTAATTTTTATATATTAACAGTTTTATATATTAACAGTCAACAATTATTTGAAGAAGATCTAACCCAGTTAAATATTGATTGAAATGTATAATGTTGATACTTTTTTACTATGAATATTTACACACTATATATATTACGTGTCACGCGAATGTTACGTTATGTGCATGTTTAGACTTTTATAAAAAAAAAAAAACCAAATATTATTTAACATATCTTATTTTACGCGTATATATATTTTACAATTTTGCATTTATACAATTTTCAGAATATGCCGACGTACAAGCTGATATATTTCGACGTTACGGGCCTTGGGGAGGCAATTAGGTTTATGTTAAATTATTGCGGCATCAAATTCGAGGATGTTAGATTTAGCTTCGATGAATGGCCGAAATATAAACCAAGTATGTTATTTCATATAATATTATTTTAAGATTATAAAACGGTCATAATTTTGATTGCTCTTCCATTTAAATACTAATTCGTGTTATAAAATTTTACAAAATAAAACTGCATTATAAAAGTTTGCAAAATACTCCTAATATATTCCGCGCATTTACCGTCAAGTTTTATTGTTTTACGATCATTAGTCTTGTATTATAAACGCGCACAAGGAACAAATTATTCTGCAATAAAGCAAAAATAAAGAAGCAACTCTCTCTTCTTTTATTCAAACAAAATAATAAATATAAATAATAAATGTAAATTTTATGTGAATTCAACAAACCGATGTTGAAAAATTATTAAAATATTTTTGCGCACTATTTTTTGCCCCTTTAATCTTCTTTATTATTTTATTTGGTAATAATGTCTAATGACATTTTATAAATATAACAGACATGCCCATGGGACAAGTGCCGGTTCTAGAGATCGATGGTAAGCAATATCATCAGTCCAGGGCCATCGGGCGATTCCTCGCCAAGAAGGGCAATTTATATGGATCCAACGATTTTGAGGCTATGGAGATTGATGCAACAGTTGATTCTATCGAGGACATAAGACAAGGTAAAAATGTCGGTGATCAAACACGAGAGAATGACAGATTGTCTGTAATTACATAATCGTCAAAGCAACATGATTGTGACTTTTTGAATCGTCCATGTTGACAGGATTAGTCAATTTAATGTATACATTGCGCATTCATTATTTTATACCAACTAAGATATATTTAACGTTATTATTGCAAAATACTTTAGTACCTAAAGTTATTATTTGAAGTTAATAAGCTATATATACATATAGTTCCTGGATGACTGTCGTGCGTTATATAATATAATAAATTATCGCTTTTCTCGCGGTCGGCGGTTCACAATGTGGGAACTATATATCTCTGTGCAATGCAAAAAAAGTAAAGTAAATTAATTTTTGTAGCAATGACTCTTCATTATTGGGAACAAGATCCCGCTTTCAAAGCGAAACTCAAGGATACACTTTTCCAAAAATTGCCTAACTATCTTGATGTATTCGAAGCTCAAGTTAAGAAGAACGGTGGATACTTCGTCGGTGGCAAGGTATAACTATAATATTAATATTAATTTACGTGTGCAGTTATCGAGCCTTATTTTGTTTTTCGTAAAGATATAAAAGTATATTTTTATTGTTTTAGCTCTCGTGGGCAGATTTTCTGTGGGCTGCATATCATGACTATATGAGCTTTATGGTGGAGAGGGATTTGATCAAAAATTATCCCGAATTGAAGAAGCTAGTGGAGAAAGTTCGTACTTTACCCAAAGTTAAAGCTTACATCGAGAAGCGACCTAAGACTCAATTTTAAAATGATCTATAATAATATGCTCTCGCTTTGATTTGTTAAACATATTCCTTTAATAATTATTTTCTATTTCGAAGCGTTTTGTAGAAGAATAGCATATAACTAATGTTCCGAATAGCTTTAATCTTTAGTTTTTCTGCAATCTAACATACAACAACTAATATTATTATGTATGAAATAAATAAAATGGAAATAAAATCTTTTCATTAAAAGTGTGTTTATCGCTAATTTCTTATTTCTAATCCCTTTTTACTTATCAGTTTAAAAACATTGTATACCCAATTTTCAGTATTTCTTTGAAATTTTCACTGTTTTTTTTCCGTAAGAGTATAATTATCAATTCTGTATTATTTTAAAAAAACGCAATTTAAATAATATTGTGTACCAGATATCGTATATTATAAATAATATAAATTTGATCTTAGTTTTTTTATTATTCCTTAACAACAAATAATTTTTTAATGCAGAATGTATGTTCCAAGTACATATATATTATTACTGTTTCAACGAAATACGGTCAATAAAAGTCCGTAATTTTGTTTTAGCTGTCGTGGATTTCCTGTGGGTTGCATTCTGTGAATATATAAGCCTTATTCTAATCCAAACGAGTATCATCCCGAATTGAAGTAACTAATGGAGAAAGTTCGTACTTTTGTCCAATGTTAAAGCTGGAGAAACGTCTCGAGAAATCTGTGTAAATAAAACGATTTTAGAGAAAAAAGGATGTCATTTAAATGATATTTAAAAAAAATTCTAAATTTGATTTTTTATATATCAAGAAAATGTTTACATTAACAAGAATTGTATTTTATGTAAATATTACACAGATCCTTAAAATAATTTTTCTTTACACTAAACGATATACTTGTTAAAATTCTCATTTATTTTTCATACTCAATATCTCATTTATTTTTTTATCATAGAATGTAATTTAGGAGAGTGTTTTTAAAAATCGTCCCAACCTCTATTAGAATATGAATGAAAGATTCATTATACTAAGCCTTTAATTTCATTCTATCCTGTATGATTTTTTTTACTTATAAGAAACAGAACTCTATCGCATCTATCTATTAGCGGTATCGCATAAATGTTTATTAATAGTATTTATAAATAGACATAAAGAGCTCTTTTAGAAAATGTCTTACAGAACGATTTTTTTTATCATTCTTAAGATATTTTAGTGAGATCTTTAAAAAAATCATCCTAAAGAATTCTTCCTCTCAACAATACTCAATGGATTATCTGTTTGCAAATGATTATTAAGTTGTATATTATTAAGTTGTATATTATAGAGAAAACAATTTCAATAATATCTGATAGTATAGTTTTATAAATAGTAAAATTATTTTGATTTTTATTATATAATTTTATGATATAATATTGGCTAATGTTCCTAATTTTTTAATCGTTGTTAAATAAAAAACTAAGAATAATTAAGAAATGATCTATATTCTATATGATCTATGATCTATATTCTAAGCGAAAAAGATGCACTAAAAAGTTATGTGCGAGAAATATTCTATTAATTATTGCAATGATAAGCCTCGACATAATTTTATGCTTCACTGATCTGTAATAAGCATCTTGATCTTCTAAGAAAATAAGAGGCATGCCATCCTTTTTTTCAATTGGTGCTACGTTGCATGTGCAATTTTGTTAGGTATAACTTTGTATGTGATTGGGCGTGTCTGGTATTTTTCCATAGGTCTGTTCTCTCTCTCTCTCTCTCTCTCTCTCTCTCTCTCTCTCTCTCTCTCTCTGCCTTTCTATCTCTTTTTCTCTCTGCCTCTCTCTGCCTCCCTCCTCACTCTTTCTCTCTCTCTCTCTCTCTCTCTCTCTCTCTCTCTCTCTCTCTCTCTCTCTCTCTCTCTTTATGGCTGAATTAGAGCACTAGTTATACTTAAAATCAAATAGATACATACATATATTTGAAATGAGGTGAAACTGCAGATAGAACATTTTAATATAACCCAATACAAAGACCTATAAATTTCTTTTGAAACAAGGAACGTATGTTCCCAAGTAACTGGGTACACATTACACACTTATTCCAACGAAACATTCAGTCGTTCTTGATCCGCGAACAGGTTCACATCGATTGTCAGAGTCTCGATTTCTACAATAGACCGATTTATAGATTGCAAGGTAATAGAGACTTATATCTTCTTAATTTTATAACCTGCTTCTAGAATAAATAAGCGAGTATGCTTATTTCAATATTATTTGATTAATACTTTTGGAAATGATTTATTTTTAAATAAATATAAAATAGAGTTGTGTTTTGTGTGTGTCATAAGGATTGAATTTAATTATGTAATTAAATACCAAGACTGAACTTGATTATACAGGATTACTTAAAATGATTGCCGGAGTTAAAAATAAGTATAAAAATAAGTTTAATATACGGACAATTATAATGATACAGGTGGATAACAAAATTTTGAAAAAACTTTGTCGAACTTTTCGTCAATTTATACGTATTAAATTTGCGTAAAGTCAATGATGCTTAGAATTAAACCGCTTCGAGATCTCAGACAGAGAAAGAACTTGACTAATTGAATTGCTCAAATAAGTAAATTGTTGATTGAAATTAGTGATTTCGTTATATCTCGAAACGACTATCATTGTACACACAAGGCTTAAATTTGAAGATTTGTTCACGTTATATGCATCAACATACGGTTGGAATGAGTAGGTATTATCATAGGAACATGTTGAACATGTTGAAGTATATCGAAACATGTGATGCGAATAAACCTTAAATAGCGAGAGCAGGGACGATGATAGATTATTTAACGCCCCCATGCAATATTCAAATTAGTATCTTATATTAGAGAAGAAGGTGACATTATAGCTTCCATGTACAATAACTTTGTTAATAATCTATATTTAAATTGAAAACTTAATAATTATATTTGTCAAAGTTGTGTTATTTAATTGATTTTGCATTCAAAATTATGAAATATTTATTATACTTGAGACATTATTTTTTATTATATATTTATAAAAATATGGAGACGCGTAACAAAAAAAAGAATAAAAATTAGTGCGACTCTTATAAAAATGAATTTAAAAAAATTGATTTTTCTTAAAAAAAAAAACACAGTGCTTAGTTAAAATTATATATAATTATATATTAAAAAAAACTATTGCAGAATGTACATATAACATGAACTATGGATCTGCAGCAGAGCTATATGCTTATCGAATTCTTCGTAAAACATTACGTAAAAACCTTGAGATAGGTTGTATTATCAGCACGCTTATGAGACATTAACTAATGCCATTATTATTTAACGCATATTTCAAAATAGTACAGTCGAATAAAATATTAAATAGAATACTTAAGTGTACATATAATATATTCATGTGATAATGTACGAGTTTTAAAAAAATATATAATCAAACGTATTTGTATTTCAAAAGTAAAAACTCGAAAGTTATATAAAAATGCATAAATGCTGGCTACTGTGTATTGGCGTATTAGTATTATTGTGTAACATAATATATACTAAACGAATAATTTTAGTACTCATTAGAATTCGCTGTCTAATAGTGAAGATATTACGAAGAGCCATGTATATATCTACATAGATTATAATATCATTTTCTTCTTATAAATAATAAAACGTTGATTTAAATATTGTATTTAAAGTATGGGGTGATTTAATTAAATTTGAACAAGATCTTTTTTGCATAAATTCAAAATCAATTTTGGTAAACATACTTACCCTGATTGTGAGTGACAGATAATAATGTCTTTCCACACCTTATATAGTTTGCGGCAGTTATTTCTGCAGTAGTTGTTGCATTATTTGAATAATAAAGAGCACCGAATGCAAATGTGCAACGCGTGATTCAAGTTTATCCATCGATCAAGTTGCAAACGGAATTGTTTAAGCCGTCAAAATTTTTCGAACTGTGTGACAATTCAAAGATGAGATGAGACACAAGTGCGCAACATTTTATTATGTCGCATAGATTTTTGTATTTACTGATATTATGTTCGTTTAGACTTGTTTGAAAATGTGGCAAATCTTATTTTAATATTTTGTATACATACATTTTTATATTTATACAATTTTCAGAAAATGTCGACGTACAAGTTATTATATTTCAACATTACCGGCCTTGGAGAATCAATTAGGTTCTTGTTAAGTCACTGTGGTATTAAATTTGAGGATGTTAGGCTTACCTTCGATGATTGGCCAAAACATAAATCAAGTATGTTATCTCTCATATGTTATTATTTTTAGATTACAATACGATTATAATTTCAATTATTCTTTCATCTAAACACTAATTCGTGATATAAAATTTACTTTGCAAAGTGAATGTTTCGCATCTATCGTCAAGTTTTATTATTCTATGATCATTCGGTTTATGATTATATTTTTCTAATATATGTGGGATAGATATTGCTTTGCAATAATCTCATGACATTTTTATACATTGCAGACGTGCCTATGGGACAAGTGCCAGTACTGGAAATTGACGGGAAGCAATATCATCAGTCCAGGGCCATCGGACGATTCATCGCCAAGAAAGGCAATTTATATGGGTCTGATGATTTCGAGGCCATGGAGATTGATGCTACAATTGATTCTATGGACGACATAAGATTAGGTAAAAATATTGCTAATTAATCAATGTGAAAGGATGACAAGTTGTCGATTATATAATCATTAAATCAACAAGATACATACATTATAACTTTCCGAGTCTTTTGCGCCGATGGAATTAGTCAATATTTATATCTTGCACATATGTTGTGCATATGTCAAATAGGGTTACTACTAGTGTTATTAGTGTTGATCTGCATAAAGCAGATTGAAGTTAACATAATATTTCCTGAATAATTATCGCGCACTGTTTAATTAATATCGCTTTTCTCACAATGATTTATTGTACAATATGCTTTTTATCTCTATGCGAAGTAAAAATATAAAATCGTACGGTAAATTTATTTTTGTAGTGTTATCTCAATATTACTGGGAAAAAGATCCCGCTTTCAAAGAGAAACTCAAAGAGACTGCCTTCCAAAAATTGCCCTATTATCTCGACAAATTCGAAGCTCAAGTTAAAAAGAACGGCGGATATTTCGTTGGTGGCAAGGTAATAAATCTCGATTACGTGCTAAGCTATTTGATCTTATTACCTCTATCATCATAAACAAACGAAAATACACTTTTGTTGTTATAGCTGTCGTGGGCAGACTTCCTGTGGGCTGCATATTTTGATTATCTGAGTTTTGTTCTGGAGGATGATCCGAATAAGGATCATCCCGAATTGAAGAAACTAGTGGAGAAAGTTCGTGGTTTGCCCAATCTTAAAGCTTACATTGAAAAGCGACCCACAACTCAATTGTAAATAAAACGATTTATACTTATTTATGCTCTTTCATTGATTTGTTACATCGTTTTGTAATAACTATTCTATCTCAAAATGTTTTGTAAAAAGAATAGTGTGCTAATGTATTACATCCGAATAGCTTTAATCAGTTTCTCTGTAATCTAATAACAATTAAATATTATTGCGGAATAAGTGTGAAAAGGAAATAAAATCTTTTCGTTTGCAGCAGTTAAAAGTGTACGTGCTTGTCGCTTCTATTTCTAAAATTCCTTTTTGTTTATCTGTTCAAAAATATATTTATCAAATTATATATATTATTATAAATATTATACAATTTAAATATAACATCTATATATAAATAATACAAAATTATGTTTTCTTTTATCACTTTGTCTTATTAAATGATATTAAACGATATATTAAAAGCAATAATGGCTAACTTTTTAATCGTTATATTCTGTAATATAATTAGGAAGAATTATTATTGTTTAAAAAAATATAATGAAATACTGTTATAATCCTGGAATAATTCCAAACCATTTCGGAAGGAATTATAACAATAGAATGGAGACGATTTTACTACGTTTTTTATGAACAATGGAATGTGAATTATTATGACAATATCAGTATTTCTACTGCATTTACATTACAAATAAAAGCAAATAATATTGTTTTTAACTAAGAAATTATTTACAAAATACGTTTTGTTTCACGCATGATACGCATAATGCATTACTTTTCCTTGTCGTTCATCAAATATTAAAGAAGGATAAAATGATAAATCATGCTTGAAACGGAGCACACTCATAATTATATATATTAAAATAATTAAACCTGGCATAATAAGATAACATCGTGTTTTATTATACAGATATTATATAGATAACGCAAAATAATCTTAATTTTTTTATCACTTCCAAATTTTTGCAAGATGCATTATGATAAAGAAGATACAATATGATGTGATCAAAGATGAGAAATCGTCTTTCATATAAAAAGTGAAAATGCTACGATATAGGTTGCATTACTACCCTGTGATTAGCGTCTTAAGCTAAGAGAAAATAAAAGACATCCATTCTTTTTTTTGATATTATATTCCAAGTAAGATAAAAGATTATATCATTAAAATAATGTTGAAATAACTCCAAAATGATTATTAAAGTCACTTTTCGATTGGTAAGATTGGTAAGTGACTTACTAATCTTACGATTCATTTTACTATTTTTATGACATTATAGTGATTTGTTGTTCTGCTTAGAATTCAATCTTCCGTGCGTGCATTCTAGCTAAGTTAGATATAATTTTGTATGCATGTGATTGTGTGTGTAAAATTAGTATTTCTGTATAATTCTTTCTATAAAAAGGACTTATGTCACCAAGTGATTAGATATATAGACAGTACCGAAACTCTCTCCAGTCATTCTTGATCCGCGATTAGCTGTGTGTCGGTTGCTAGAGCCTCGATTTTTCAAGTCGGATTACAAACTGCTAGGTAATGAGAAATTATCTTTTCCATTTCGTAATTTAGAATAAATAATCGAGTACGTTTATTTAATACTGTCTAAATTAATACTTCTAAAAATGGTTTATTTTAAAATAAATATAAAATATAGTTATCATAAGAATATTAATTAAATTATTAAATCAAATAACAAAGATTGAATTTGATTATATTTATCATTTTTTTAGTTAATGGTTAACAATTATTTGTAGAAGACCGCAATAAAAATTAAAGCTAATATTGAAGCACACAAGGTCATTTCGTGACGCGATAAAGTATTGATGTGTTCCCATATAAGCTCTGAACTGTTTATACACAAGCATCAATTGATTCGTTCATGCGGGTTGCTTGCCTGTGGTTGTCACGCCACAAAATGACTTTGTGTGTTATCGCTTTAGACCTTTTCAATCGCAACTTTACTTTATATATACATATATATATTATTCGTTTTCATATTTATTAATTTCCAGAATATGCCGACGTATAAATTAATGTATCTCAATGCTACTGGCATTGGGGAGCCAATTAGGTTTTTGTTAAATCATTGTGGCATCAAATTTGAGGATATGAGAATCACCTTTGATGAATGGCCAAAGTATAAACCAAGTATGTTATCTCTATATATACTATATTTTTGAAATGCATTTGAAATTCCATTTATATAATAATTCATGTTATAATAGCAAGAAAAAAAAAAAGTTGCGAAAAAGCTTATTTTTTATTTAAATAAAAATAAATTAATTACTAAAATTATTGGTATAGAATAGAAAAAACAATAACAATTATTTGGTATAATTAAATCATCTTTCGCAACATATATAAATATGCCATTGATTTTAAAAGGATATAAATCTTTAAAAAAATTCATATAATTATTTCAGCAATCATTAATAAATTTCGATTTTTAATACTTTCTCTGGAAATAATGCACGAATAACTGTTATTTTATATTTCTATCCCACGAACAATTTCCAACGATTAATTCATGCAAGAAATAAAACTGTTTTTAGATTCTTCTTTATTTTGCAAATCTAACTTTCTCGCATTTATTGACAAGCTGTAAATTCTTTTAGTCGCATTTCTACTATAAAAAACGCACACATGAATAGATATTATTTTCAATAATCTAATAACATATTTATATATTGTAGACATGCCCATGGGACAAGTGCCGGTCCTGGAGATTGATGGTAAGCAATATCATCAATCTAAGGCTATTGGACGATTTATCGCTAAGAAGGGCAATTTATACGGATCCGATGATTTCGAGGCTATGGAGATTGATGCCATAGTCGATTCTATCGATGATATAAGACAAGGTAAAAATTTCGGTAATCAGTAAATAAAAAAATGACAGGTCATTAATTACATATGATAATGCAACATGATTTTGACTTTTCGAATCTTCCACACCAGCGGAATTATTCAATGATACATACGTGTTGCACATATGTCCAGAATAATGTTACTGTAAAATATTCTGTATAAAACAGCTATTTTAAATCATATATTTTTTAAATGTTTTCGCACGCTTTAATTATACTTTTCTTGCGGTTTACTACGAAAGTCTTTTTCTTTTTCTTCAACACAAATAATTGAAAGGTAAATTTATTTTTGTAGCAATGGGCCATTATTATATGGAACAAAATCCTACCTTCAAAGCGAAACTTAAGGAAATCGTCTTCCAAAAATTATATCACTCTCGCGACAAGTTTGAAGAACAAGTTAAGAAAAACGGCGGATACTTCGTCGGTGGCAAAGTAATAATTTTCTATTGTTTACTAAGCTATTAATTTTCGTGTTGTTAAATGTATTTGTCTTTGTAAAGAGACTAAAATACATTTCTTTTTTTTATTTTAGTTGTCATGGGCAGATTTCCAATGGGCTGGACATTGTGACATTCTGAGTTCTATTCTGGCTGTGGATCCGAATGAAGATCATCCCGAATTGAAAAAATTAGTGGAGAAAGTTCGCGCTTTGCCCAACGTTAAAGCTTACATCGAAAAACGACCTAAAACTGAATTTTAAATAAATCCTTTGCAACGAATGCAACTAATTGTAATTAAATGTAAGTAATGCAGCGAAAAACCTGCAACAATCGGAAGAAATTCAAATTTTCTTTTAGTTTCCTCACATTAACTGAGTGATTTGAATCATTCGGTAAAATAAAAAATCTTAAGTATCTATTGCTAAAAACCGAATTTGAAAAATTTAAACCATTGATTTGCTCTGTATTACTGACTTATGGACTTCGATCTGTCTTGATGAAACTAAGATCCTTAGGTATCTGCCAAAAATAGAGTTCTAAAAAATTAAATATCATTTTTGAGAAATCTTGCAGACAATCGAACGAATGGCCAGACTGTGTTAAATTATAAAGTAGTTTGTTATATTCGCTGCACTACTTAATGAAACAATTTATAATTCTAACTTTGATTTATTTTTTTTTGACTTATTACATATCGCGACATTCATCACTAGCTATTCTATTTTGAAACGTTTTGTAAAAGAATTACATGCTTATATATTATATATTATGCCCGAATAGCTTCATTCATTTTTTTTACAATCTAAGAATATTTAATATTATTACAAAGAAATAAAAATGAAATAAAATCTTGTTTACTCAGTAAAAGTATGTGCTTTTTATATTTCTAATCCCCATTTACTCTATTTGAAAATGTATAATTATCAATTATGCATATCATCATATAACATATGATTTCAGTAATACCAGATAACATGTTGTTTTATAAATAGCGCAAATTAATTCGGTTTTTTATTACTACATTTATAAACATCATATTGTTTCTTTGAAGCTAAATTTATAATATAATAATTCTTTTATACAGAATTAAATAATTTTAAAATATATGTTTGTAATAAAGGAAGAATAAATATTTCTGTGAATATTAGGATGCAACATTATTTATTTAGGATATTTTCTTATCAAAATAATAGAATTGATGTTTGCGAATGCATTAATCATGTAAATGTCGTGTTCAATATACGTGAAAAATGATGCAGGACATTTTAAAGCCTCTTTTATAAACAAAAAAAATACCCACCTGAACTTAAGTTTCTTACTTTAAATAAAATTATTCCCAATATCCTTATTTGATACTACTATATCCATTATTTCGACAACAAAGCATTTGCAATCTAATCCTCACAGGAACATTTGGTTTTTCTTTTTATTCAGGAACATACTTATAAAACTTTAAAATGTACTTACGATATCCTGTAAGGTTTCTCGCTTTTGATATATTTCATTTTTTATAAAATATCTCTTCTATCAATAATATAAATAAAAATAATAATATAAAAAAATTATTTTATAAATAATAAAATTTATTTTATAAATAATTTATATTATTTTTATTTTATAAAAATATTCAATAAGAAATTAGTTTATCATTGCATTTATCAATGCAATGATAGATTAGATAGCATAATTACTATCTATTGACAATATGTTGTAGCGAATTTATCGCCACTACTCCAGCTGCAATTTAAATATAAACGATAGTTTTTTTCTCTTATGTAAAAGAATAGCATATATATGAATCCGCGAGAAATATTGAATATAGCTAAGTCTGCGCGAATGATGCTCAGCCGTTAAGGACAGAAAAAAAAGATAATACAGATAGAGAGTATACTGATGAGAGCGTAAATAATGATAACGAAAAGCGGGTAATAATCAGAGAGGCGTTATAAATCGCATCTATTTAGCGGAGCAAATACCAAATAATCCGACAATGCAATATTGCACACGCTGTAAGCCGTTAAGGAAATGAGATGCAACCGCTGCATCCCACGAAAGAAAACTAAACTGCTGGATTGTATATAATTTAAACCGAGATTCGAAATCTTCGAGAACATTCGAGAAAACAAATCGTTTTGTCTAATGAAGTCGAATAAACAATGAAGAGAGGTGAACGACACTTCTCCTCTGACTGTTGTGTTAAGTCATATAAAACAACGCGCAACAAAAATAAAAAATTTAATTTTTGAATACATTGAATAAATTATTGGCATACCATCGTCCGAATCCTGTAATACAACAAATGTTATTGATTTGTGCCACACACATATATTAGGTGGGAAAAAGTTCGTGGCGTTTTTTTAATCTAACGGGAAAAATGCCACGAACTTTTTCCCACACCTAATATTATATTATATATGAATAATTAAAATTTTTTACAGAATTTACAGATGGAAAAGGAATATATATATTTTTAAAAAATTTTTTAAATGAATTCCGCTTTGCTGTTTGCATATACATTTTTTCCACTTAAATAATTTTTAACAGATAACGGAATATTATTTTACAAAAGAATACATGTTCATGAGTAGATAAGTTAGATAAGAAGTATTGCTGTATTGCAATACTATAATAGTTTCAGTTGTATTTTAGCAAACTCAACATTCAGTTACATTGAGAGATTTAACATTTATGAGAAATTGGATTTTAGATTGCAAACTAATAGTAGAATTACGATTTCCTGGTAATATTAATTTTTTGATTAAACGGATACGCTTATGAATTGGCATTTGTTAAAATATTATTATAACAAAATAAACATAAAATGTTATTAGATAAAAAATAATACGTGCAAAGATAATACATAAATCTAAATTTACTGTATATGTCGCCTATAATTTATTGTACATGCAAAATAAATTCATATTTTTCATTATATTTTTATTAATATTCAAAATTAATCAATAATTTATTAAAGAGAATTAAAGTATTAATCGAAGTTATTAATGTGATATTTGATGTGATTATTGTGAATGATTTGTCAATATTGTACCGATATGTTTAGTGATTTACAGTGTTTTATATCATAGTCTCAATATCCTCGTTTTCTATTATAAAATAAACCAATCTTTATTTTTTAAATTTATTTTTTATGTCTATACTATTTTCAGATCATGTCGATGTACAAGTTAACGTACTTTAAGGATGGAGCCGTTGGGGAACCATCCAGATATTTATTAAGTTATTGCGGCATTAAATTTGAAGATGTTAGACTCACTATGGAAGAATGGCCGAAGCATAAATTAAGTATGTTATTTCTATGCTATACTTTTGAAGAAATTTTGAGATAATTGCAACTATAACTTTAATTGTTTCTTTGTTTAAATAGTGATTTATACTATAAAATTTATTTTGTAATTTTCTTATTTCAAGTTCATTACTCTTATTTAAATATTATATTTCTATCGTAAATATATTTTTGGAATAAATATTGTTCAGCAATAACTTAATAGCAAACTTAATAACAAACATATCATTTTTTTGTGTTTACAAATTGTAGACATGCCCATGGGACAATTGCCGATTTTGGAGATAGACAATAAGACATACCATCAATCCAGAGCTATCGCTCGCTTTATTGCTAAGAAGGGTAATTTATACGGGTCTGACGAGTTCGAGGCTATGGAGATTGATGCCACAGTCGATTCTATGGAGGATATAAGACGAGGTAAAAGTATCGATCAATCGAAGAATGACCGGCTGATAATTCATTCAAAGCAGGCATACAACTTTTCAATACTTCCATACTGATGGGAGATTTGATTAATTAATATAATACAGAGTGCACGTTATGCTTATATAAAAACTAAGGAATTCAATGTTATTACAAAATATTATTATTACAAAATATTGTGCCATAAAAGAATGAAAATTATTTAAAGTCAATTTGTACATTTCCTGAATGATGTTGTATTCTGTTGCTATTACTTTTCTCATAGCACAGATGAGTCTTTGGCCGATATAGTTGAGTCTTATTTCAAGCCGTCTTAAGTAATGTCTTAAGGCGCTAATGCAGCCTTCTGATTAATTCGTGACTTCTTAAGACCGTATTTAAGACGGTATTGAACATAACATCTGACTATGAATACCGCCTTTGTTTTTGTGCGACGAGTTTTAACTCATTGTCATATTTATTTTCGTAGTTATGGGCGAATACTATTGGGAACAGAATCCTGTTTTCAAAGCAAAGTTAAAGGAAACTGCCTTGCAAAAATTGCCTTTCTATCTCGATAAATTCGAAGCTCAAGTTAAGAATAATGATGGATATTTCATCAATGGCAAAGTAATGATCGATTACATGTCGAACTATAGGGTAACTCCAGCAAATACGCTGGGATTTACACCGTAGAAATTAGAAAAAATAGAAAGAGTGGCGGTAATTTTTCTGCAATTACTCTGTTACAGTTACAATTACTCTATTGCTTTTATGTTATATTAATGTTAAGTAATGATTTTAGCTTCTTAGTGTTAATATTAATGAAATTATTGTGAGTTGAATCGATTTGTCATTGTAATAAGCAGCGCCATCATAAATTACAATCTATATAAAATATTTACTGTAGAGCATGTAAAAGACTTATGCCTAACTTCTTTATCTCTAGATAACTTTATCCAAGAGATATTTCCCAGAATACAAATACGATGGAGATATTTCTTGGATAAGGTTATTTGCAACTTATCTGGAAGTGAAAAAATTGAGTTATATTGAGCATTAGTGGTTATTTCGTAATGCGTACGTGTAGAGGAATAGTAAAGCAAAATCTAAGTGCTTCGCTCTCGTATTTTTTATTCAGCTTGTTGCCTTGTATATTCCATTTCTTTGGCATTTTTTAGCGAGCGGGATTTATGCCCAAAGCATACAAAGTGCGCAGATTGAATTCAGTGCATCAACGCAAACGTAAATTTTTTTATGTACATACTCCCTCTCTTTCTATGAATAGCCATATATTCTATCCCTATGGGATATACGGCAAAAATGCAAGAGTTTCAAAAAATTCATTTTTTAATACGAAAAATAAATATTTCAAATTTCTAATATTTTTTTCATAGAAGTAGACAGTAGAAAATTTTTATTGATATAGTTCGTACTTTTTATTTACTTTAAACATAAGTAAATAATATTTAATAAATTAATAATATTTAATAAATTTAATAATATTTATTAAATTAAGTTTTTAATAGGTAGGCATAGATGCGGCGTATATATCGGAGTTACCCTAATGCTTATTTTGTTAATTTTGCTAAAATCCAATGACACATGTTTATTATTTTATATATTTTAGCTGTCATGGCCGGATTTCATGTGGGCTGCATATTCTGAACGTATAAGCTTTATCTTAACCAGGGATGTGAATCAGGATCATCCAGAATTGAAGAAGCTAGTGGAGAAGATTCGCGCCTTATCCAAGATTAAAGCTTACATCGAGAAGCGATCCAAAATTCAATAGTACGGAAAATTTATAATTTTATGTACTTTTTGTTCTTGTATTGATGTCATTTTTTATTAAATCTTTTAGAGCAAAATGTTTCGTGAAAATCTGGCATGTATTAAGTTAGCTTGGTAGTTTTTTTCGTAAGTTAATATTATATATTGAATGTTTCTATACATATAACAAACGTAAAGAGTATTATATTTTTTTCATTAATAAAACTGTCTGCTTATTGACGAGAATTTATTATTTTTTACCTCCTTTTTAGAATACTGTTTTATTATTTTTTATGAATAAGATTGAAATATCTAAAGTTATCTATAATTAAGAGTTTTTGATGTAAAGTTTCTGAAATGATAAAGGTAATGAGTACATTCGCTACTTTAAAAGTGCTGAAAAGGACGATTGTTACATGTTTATTTAATAAATATGCATATGTATTATACAATTGTGTATAAATCCATGTATACGGATTTATTATTTATTCCTTAAAATAAAGAGAAACATTGATATATACATATAAAAATAAATGCTAAAATTAATTCAAAGTTGCGCATATATGTGTGATAAGTATTTATATCGACAATGTCAATAATAAATATCGTAGCTATATTTTTGGATATTTGTAGTCATAAAGATATTTTTCAATGCGATTTTATTAACGATGTGCTTCAAAAAAAATATTGCATTTTGAATAACTTCGTATTTTTAACTTTTTAATATCCTTTACTGTGTTTGATAAACAAGTAAACTTGGAAAAAAGTTTTTTATTTTATTTTATAAAAAATGCTAAAGAAATTATAATTTTGTAGTCTCTACTTTTCGTTGATAATGTCGAAGTAATTTATACAACGCTATCACTGACATATAAGGCGTATGCAAAGAAAATTTTGCCGTCTTTAATATTTTTTTATTTATCAATCTTTAAATAAGTTATTTTTCAAATTAATTTTTTAAATATTAAAATTTTTAAAAAGAGCAATTTTTCATTTTTGTTCTAGGATATTGTAACTTTTTCCTAGGATAAAAATGAGAAAAAGAGTGACAACTTTTATATCATTAAAGTTAATGGAGCAATTTTTCACATTTTCCCGCAAAATGAAAATGATTACATGATTGATCTAGTGTTGAAATAATTCGGTATGATTCGGTATATTTTGTATGTATTGGAAGATTCAGGAAATAATATCCGATCAATAATCAAATTTTGTGATTTTCTAAATTGATGTACATTGTATATTGTATTTCAGAAGAAATTAAATCTGATAGAAGCGAGCATATTAATGTTATAAAAAGAGAATCGATAATTAAAATTGAATTTAACGGTTATTGATACGTTTTTGTGGAGTGCATATCTTGCAAATTTATTTGCAGCGGCTCCGATTTTGCACAAATTTTCTATCTTGACATAAATAAGTT